AGAGAGAGAGAGAGAGAGAGAGAGAGAGAGAGAGAGAGAGAGAGAGAGAGAGAGAGAGAGAGAGAATTTAATGACGTCTCGATAGCGGCATAATGATGATGATTATACAGAAGTGCGATTCCATTTGGCACCTTGGAAGACAACCGGTAATTATCCCCTGACGACTTCTGCCCCGTCGTCCCACTTTATTCTTCAGAAGCACGATATCTATCGTGCGGATGGCGTCGTGCTCGTCCACAAATTGACTTTGCCGCTCGAATCGAATTTTGGCGATTGATCGAACTGTCAAACTTGGCAAACTTGGTTAAATCCACTATGCTGACTGTCCGTATAACGTCTAATTAGTTGAGAGAGTCCGCGATACATGCTTTGCTTAGAATATCACGCGCGTTATCCGCGAGTACCAATGATAAGCGAGCTAACAGAATTTAATTCCACAAAAATATATTGAACGCCGTTGAATCGTGTAATATAATGAGATATGAATCTCGCCAAAACGACGTGCACTGCGTTTTACGGTGCTACGTGTAAATCACGAAATTTATAGTCCACATATACAACACGCTCTTCTTCCATTCCATTTGAAGCCAGCAGTACTCAGGCGCGTTAGAATTAGGTGTTAATTTCGCTGCTCATTTCCAACCGCTTTGTTTAATTACATATTTAGTCCGCTAATTATGGCCGACCACACTATACGGAGAACGTGATTAAGCAGTTACTATATAATTCAGCCGCTCTCACTGCGAATGCTATCACGGCTGCAAAAGATGTTTCCCCAGGTTTTTTCTGTGCTTTCCAAACAACATGGAGATGGGGAGAGAAAGTTCAATACACATGTTATGAATATTGATGAACAAGACTGGCAAAACCGATGAATTTATTGGAGAGGATTCTGTACGGAAGGAAATTTTCCAAAAAATTGAGAAAAACACCTGAAACCGTGAACGACATTACTCGACGAATTCTCGTGACGTATCCATCTCACGATGCATTGCGGCGCATCTTGTCTGTCGTGACGCTACAATATTAATCTGCATCGAATTGACCCGAGGAGTTAAATATAGAGCGTGATATTGCCAGCGATTTTATGCATGCTGATATTTTCAAAGCAATATGCTAAGCGCAAACAACGCCAGGGACAATGAAAAAGGCGAACTATGCAGCGACGGGACTCAAATGCCATTGTGCATTACGAAACCAAGAGCGTGCGCGAGATATCGTATGAAGCGCGATGATGACCGTGAAGTTTCATTAAAATGTGGTGCGCTTACCTCGAAGCTGAGAAGCCCGCTGTGATCCTGGTCCAAAGTATTAAAAACGTAATGCGCGTACTGGCTTGTATTGGCTATACAAAAAGAGAAACAAATTTATTTTAATCACACCTATTCACACCGCTTTTTACATTTGGTTACATGATTTCATCAGAAATGTAATTTTCGATCAGAATCGCGATCGTATTCGCTTACGTATCGAATCGACGCATTCGACAAGTGTGTCCGTCGATAAAGCCACCCATATATAATTTCGCATGCCAATTCGGCAAAGAGCATTTGTCTGTGCGCGATCGCTATCGCGTCGGTAAACCGTGAGCTTTTTGCGAATCGCGAATTACATTATCTGTGTATGCAAGATAGTCGCGGAGAATAAATCAGGGCGATTCTCTCGAATAGGCTCTCGTGCGGGGGATTCGTATTTTGTGAAAAGGGACTCGCGCTTTAATGATATCTGGTATGATCTAATGATGAGCACGGTGCTCGAGTTTCTCTGCGGGTTCAATCTCGTTGAAGCCAAACACTCGTCCGGCATTAATGCCGCCGCGAAAGAGATGCTTAATAAGGCCGCTTGAATTCGCGAACAAACGAACACGCAATGATCTTGAACGAGAACATCCACAAAGGCCGCTGAATCTGTTATGGACAGCTCATAAAATCGAATACCCTTCGGCGCGTGTTAATAACATCCAGTAGAGATAATGAGTAGCTTTACACTTAAAAGGTAGATGTATAGCGCGAATTATCATGGAACTCGGCTTTACCAAAGGGTTGGCCGAGATATAGGGAAGATCGGAGCTATTTGGCAAAAATAAATTTAATTATTTCTATTCTTTAACAGGTTTCAGAATCAAACAAGCAGGGACTTTAAAGCCATCTTTGACATGTTTAAAAATCTTACTTGCTTAATTTTGTAACTTGTTAGAAAATACTAGAAGTAAATAGTTTTGCCAACTTATCTCGGTAATCAACTAACCCCCTACTACTTTCGAACGAAATATCTTGGCCGTCGTAAAGTTTTAACTTCAGCTTCCTTCACTCACTAACGCGAATCTAGATTCATCAGGAAGGCTCGCTCTCGAAAATTCGGACAGCGGCTCTTATCATACTTCAAGTATGCCGCGCTAAACACACACAGAAGATGCGTCCTACAGAAGATATCACGAAATACGAAAGTATAAAATGTATTAACTTGTCAAAATTGGCAAACGTCTGTGAGCTGCTACGTGCTCGCGAGAGACGTACCTCAATCGCGAAGTAATGCGAAATCCGAAAATTAGTTTTCTTTGCCCTCGACGGTGCCTACTGGCGGCGCAACTGGCAAAGTATATTAGCGGGAAGTACCGCGGCGGGAGTGCTTATACCTCGACACATACAAAGAACATTCGGCACACATATTGCGACAATTGAGTTTAACTTGTCGCATTTGGAATTTTGCTTTTCCCACGGATTTTTGTCATGCGATACACTCGTTCGCGCCCGTGGTCTTCTTTTTTCGAAGAACACTTGGGAAACTCCGTCCGGATTTTATAGGCTTCCCACACTACCCGCCAATTTCTCTTGTCTAACTTCCCGCGCGAGAGAGAATCGTGGCCGAAAGCGAAGCGCGGCGATTTTATTTGCAATAAAAATACTTGTTTCGCTAACCGCGAGATCGCGAAAGATTCTCGCGTATATTCTTCCGCAGTTCAGACACCCGGTGAGATTTTCCGTTGCATGCCGCACTATCAAAGTGGATAAGCCACAGTGGCGATCCGCACACACATACAACACGTACACCCTCTCTCCCTACTGTCCCCTCCCGCTGTTCAATCGTTCTGTCGGACCGTTCTCGTAGAATTGCGGAGCTATAGTCTCCTCGTGAAGGATCACGTATTTCACGCTTTGCGCCATATAGTTATACAGGGTGTCTGATGCGATTCGCACAGATAGAACTCGTGAAATTGAACAAAGAAAGACGTACATCAGACACACTGTATATGCGTGTAAATCTTGCATGCACGACATATGTGTACGGTCAAGCACAAAATATTGCGCTATCTTTGAGACGCTGCAAGATACTTCAAATACTATGGATTTTACCGGAGATGCTTCTCGCTCGAGAGGAAAATGCAGGATATCGAGTATATGTTGCTCCAAAAATTTTCAACAATTGCACATAATCGTGATTAATGTATGATTCTTTGCGATTTTTTATAGATCGTTTAGGGACATGAGTGAATATGCAAATAAAGTTTCATTACGACGTCGTGAATAATAATGGAACAATCCAAATATGGACTTTCCAAAATTGATATCTCGTGTAATATGACATTGATTTCCGATGTCTGGGGCATCTCTTCGTGTATGCACAAACGTAGGCAGCTACTTCAAAGTAGGTATTCGCAAGCTCGCGAGTTCAAAGTGGCCGAAACGAGGCCTGCTTCGAAAATGGGAAGAAAAGCGGATAGCCCTCCTCCGCTATGAACTAACGAATACGAGTCGTGAATCGCTATTTCAACGGCGGAGTGGGATTTATCGCGATGTCGTAATTCAACCATTCGACTTTTGACTGTTGGGCCAGATCTCAGTAATGTTCCTTTATTGCGCCGGCCTCGTATTCGATATCAGAGGTATAAATTTCACGCGCTGTATTGTACGTGCGGGTCTCGACTACCCTCTTGGGCCGCCGGAGGGATTTTAGATAAGTATAAACATGTCTACCCTTGATAAAAGACACGATCGCTAAAGGAGCTTCTACTGCCCATTCGTTGCGGCGGATTTGTGATTTTTTTCAAAACACTGGTCCGACCTGTTACAGACGTAGGAAATTAATGTCGATGGCGAGACGTTTCTCCGCAAAATCGCCGCAATTTTGGAAACAAGAATTCGCTGTTAAAACGAAAGAAATTTTAAATTTATATAATTTCTAACCGTATTAATTCTAAATTCTTCTCGAGGGAAACCTTCGTATCTTTTTGTTATACGATAATTAACCATAGTTATGCAAGAAAATGCATAATTATGCAAAAAATATCCAAGCCTTATGGACGTCTAAAATTAACTGAAAAACAGTTTTTATTTTTTTCTAGTTATGTCATCTCTTTTTATTAAGTTTTTAAAGGTTTTTAAAGTCAATTTTTTTACGAGTTAAGCTTGTCAATGTATATTCTTAAAGAGAAGAATATTGACTATGCTTGACTTCTTGAACTATTGCAATAGGAATGTTAGTTTATATTTTTTAAATCATGTTCAAATTTTCGTCTTCACTCTTCTCGAAATGTATTTTATGTGGTTTGGATTATTCTTTCATAACTACAGCCAACTCATCTCTCCATTTCGCACAATGATACGTTAAGTCTGCAACGCAGAGGGAGCGCGGATAGTATATATTAAACGGCGCCCTCGTTTTTACATCGAGTAGAACGTAAAAACTGGTACCGGCTTATCTACCGTGACGTCCAATTTTACCATGATTTGATTGACATATATTGTTGAACTGGGACATGTAGTTTTGCTTATTTTAGATCCGTTGACTGTTTGTCCAGTAGTATTTTGACTTCACTGAAATAACAAACATTTTCGTGTCATCCCTCAACGCGCAAATAAGGATTCACACCTGATATTGCGAATAAAATAATGTACGCGGAAATGTTCCTAACAATGTTGATATATTCAAACATGCCTTTGTCGGCACTGCTATTATATAATACTTAGCGACATGATATCGGAACCTTCGCAGTTTAGAAGATCACATGCGCGCGATAGAATCGAGGCCGGGCATTATCTCAATTCTTTTTATCCAAAACTAAAGCGCGTGGCTTATAAAAGTATTCGCGGACCAATCGCCTAAAGCAGCGCATCCAATAAGAGGCAAGAACTCTAATTAAAAACTGCAATTTAATGACCGCGCCTCCGTTTCGTATCGTCCTTGTTTGGCCAACCGTTCGATCTACGCTTAATTAAAAAGAACAAGAAGGAGAAGAAAAAAGCGGAACAGAAAAAAAGAACGAAGCGCGGCAAATAAAACCACAGGAAATCTTCTCCGCAATTTGAGAGAAGTGGAAACGTCAGTCCGGCGACGAGCGGGGGAGTATTCCCGTTTCCCTTACGCGAAACAACGACCGACTAAGCGCGGAGAATTTATAATTAATCTTCTATCACGCGGCCTTGCTCCTCCCGCCGGCTCGATAGCTCTGTGGATGCTTTATTCGAATAAATGAGGAAATTACGACGAGTATACACGTCTCGCGTGCAGCACGAGCGCAACGAGAGCCGGGGAATTTTTATTAAAAGCTCTCACCACGTTTAATTTCGTGCAATACTCCTTGCCGAAATCGCCGTAAAACGCGAACCTATGATTTGCAACTCTACGCGCGCAGCTTCCCCTCGAAACGCGAGCGCCATATGCAATAATTGTTGTGTTTATCTTTAACGTTGTCAATATTATTCAACCGAATACAGTACGATTCCAAGATAGAACTGCGCTTGCAAAATAGGTAAATACGTATATTGCTGTATATATAGCCGCGAAACTGAAATTCAGTTTCGCCCATTACATAGAAGCGCGCGTTTCGGGTCCTTACACACACACACATACACACACACACACACACATCCTGTATTATTTTACTACTATAATGAAGGTACACGCGGCGTCCGCTTCTTTTGAATATATATTAAGGAAAAGAGACGATTACGGTAGTCTTTTAACTGTGGTGGTTTCTTTGTGAAAATAGAAGCCGAATGCGAGACAATGTCGTCATTAGTTCGGTAATTTATCTCGAAGTAGCGTGCTCTGTTATCTCGCGCGTAACATTAAATCTGTAGTGCCGCAAAATGATAGGAAAATTTTTTCATCTCTATTCACGGGAAAAAAAAATTTATTTTTGGTACAATAAATTACATAACAACCACATGTTGACAAATGTAACAAGAAATTTAATTGAATTCAATTTAATTACAAAAGATGCAGCTGAGAATCAAAAGGAAGTTTTACGAATTTACTTCTGAACGAGGTGTGTCCGATATACATAGAAAAAAAATTTGGTTGGATGAATCAACTGAAGTATGAACGATTCAGGAGTTCCGATTA